ATAGTTTGAAACCTAGTAATTTCCATCGAAGTTTACAATCCGCTCAATGATTATACCCCCCACTTCAACCCCAAAGACCGAGCGCTTCATTGACTGAAGTCGATTTCGCTTCAAATCTTCTTCGGGTTCATCCGCTGGATCTACCTCCATCTCAGCACGTATCTCAGCGCTAAGAGGCTCTGGAACCACCGGTTCATCCAGATCCATGTCGTCCTGAACAGGTAACATATCCTCAATTTTAGCCATCCTTCCGCCGACGCGTTAGCGTTGGGGACTTGGCACTCTTACTGCGTGTGTACATTGCTCCTAACGACCCCCCAACCAGGGGCGTGCCAACTTCTTTCAGTTGGGCTTGTGCTTTCCTCACCGACTGAACCAGCACCTCACTGGTGTAAAAGTCGGTCTCCTCTAGGCTGACTATACGATACCAAGACGTTTACGTTAATAAGAAAATACGTTAAAACGTTAAAGGCAAAATGTAAAATAAGTTTAGCTTCAGCCTTTGGTAGTGAGTAAATGATTAGAGGATTTTTAGACTGAGACTATTGTCTATATGCTCCGCTCTAATCACTCACTACTTCGGTCTAGATTTATTTATGTTTTAGTCACTAAGACTAGCTATCATTTCATTGGACGCATAGTTTACATTTCACGCCTCGAAACAATCACCTAATCAAACTAACCAATAAAATAAGTCCAACTTAAGAAAATCAAAAATAAAATCAAAACACCAAGTCGGTGCAGTATACATCTGCACCTAAACCCCATCACTTGGCACCTAGCTCTCCATCCCATTTAAGGCATAGACGGGCACATCTAGTTGGCTGGCTAGGAGGAATCAAAACCATGTTGTCCCAAATTCTAACAACTCTGATCCTGTCCGTTTCTCAGTGGACTATCTTGCTCTGAGATTATTATCGAATTATACCATAGGTTTGTACCAACAACCATTTCATGCCTGAGACCCTCTCTCATGGTACTCTCGTTAATTAGAGATTCCCAAAGTGTCCTTTTCAGGTGTCAGATTTGTATCATTCCTATATTATGTACAATTTTAATTTCAGTGGAAAACCCAATCTATATTTGGAAAACCACCTAATTGTCCACAGTAGAGTCCCATACTCTACTGAGTACTATCACATGTTCAGAATCTTGAATATCTCAATTCTTGTTCATGTCCAATTCGTTAAACGCATTCCAGTTGTATAAGTATAACCGTTAATACGTTAATACGTTCATAATATACGTTAACTGTGCAACAACTAATAGGAACCCGCTATTTTTACATAGCCCCACCCCCCCTCAGCTTAAAAATTACAATGTTAGCTTATATGTGGTATTAGCACATAGACTCAAAAAGCTCACATGAATTGTACAAGCGAAAAGAAAAGAAACGGGCTTCGATCATATAACGGCCTCAATGCTTATGTTATATTCTCTTAGACAAAGTATACTTAGACTTTATAAGTTACTCGGTTACTCTATTACGTTTGGGCTTTGGTCCTTGTGGTTCCCGATGGGGTACGTACATTCCATGCTGTTTAAAGCTGCGAATGTATGATGTCTGTGGATAGATCTTAACCACTTCGGCTCGCTTATTCGATGGTAAGATTGCTTCTGCATCAGCCTTATTTTTGTGTAAGCGTTTGCGAAACTTCTTATTTAAAGCCTTTAGTACATCCGGATCATCAAATGCTGATGGTGGAAGATCATAGTGCGCTCCACCGGCGAACTCCGTAGTGTAATATGTCATATCCTCATGTTTGTACTTCCCTAGAAACTTCTTAAACTCGTAAGACATAAGAGGTGTAGTAGCTTCAAGTGTGCCACGAAGGATGATCTCTGTCGTAGGGATTCGATGTGACCCGATATTTAAGGCACTAGAGCCGTCAACGTTGTTAACTTCATACGTTCCGCTCTTCTTATCAGCCTCAGAGATCATAAATGGTACAATATATTTAGCCGTAAGCACAGTGTATCGGAGTTGCGAGCTATAATGTTGACTATATCGCCTACCTCAAACTCAACTATTTTCTTGGTATCATTCCATCGCTTTTGTCTCTTCTTGAGAGCAACGTCCTTCATCTCCCTTAAGCAAGGATAGACCACATTTCTGGTCCGACGCATCTTCTCTAACCATGGTAACACATGATCATCTTGAGACTCCTTGTTGAAGGGGACCTGTAATTCATTATAATGGCCCCGAAAATAGTGAGCGGGTGTTGCACCAGTGACTGAATCAGGGAATTCGTTCATCTGTGTCTGTACCCAATTGATTGAGTACGGCCACATGTCAGCATCATCAAATAGTGCTCCTCGCATGAACTCCTTCATCTTTCTGTGTCGTACCTCGTTCGCACCTTGTGTCTGAGGCTTGTAAGGTACACCCATCTTATGGTATGATCCCGCAACGAGTAACAGTGTCGTCATGACATCTCCTGTAAACTCACTACCGTTGTCGGAACATACAATAGCTGGCCAGCCGAAATATGCGAAGCACTTATATATGCACTCAGCCACAGTTTGTGTCGATTTGTCTGTCAGCGGATACAAAACATTCTATCTTGATGCGACATCAAACACGTGACAGACATATTTATCCTTCGTGTGTTCGGACGTGGGTAGCTCAACCAAATCAATGATAACCCGGCGCCACGGCTCGTCTTCTGATACGCTGTGTAAAGGTGCGTATCCGTAGCGCTTGATCCGGTTAACTTCGCAGTTGTTACTTTTGTGATACACCTGAGATATATATTGCTTGAGGTTCAGCTGTACGATTCCGTACCTCTTACAATCTTTCTCAGTTCTAACCTTATACATGTGCTTAAGAGCATGATTTTGTCTTAACCACTTCAGAATCGCCTCCTGTGATTTACTTGTTACATTGAAATCAGGAGGTGAGGATTCCACCGCGTCATCACCTGGACTCGAAGACTCGTCTTGTCCAATCTCGCCTAAAGCTTCTACATCGTGAATCCGACTAATGTTTGATCTATCCATTAGTTGAGTCACATGATCATATACCTCGGGAAAGTCATTTATCAATTGCTTAAGCAATCGAGTTTCTGCTTGGTATGCAGTTTCCCTGTCAGACCGTATTTTGTTGTATAAGGCTTTCGCTAGTGTTGCGCTCCTCTTTGATTCCTTTGAATTTGGCTGTATCTCGGTAACACATACTGTAGGTGCTTGTGTTGTCCCAGTCGCTGATTGAGACTTAGGATTCAAGAGTGGAATCTTGGATTCCTCAACCTTCAGTTTGAAGGTCTCGGATGGTGTCCGCTAGATTGTTCCAACTGGACCTATTCGACATATTATAGTATGCCGCCAAGGCGTCTTTTGGGCTGCACTGGTACCCTGGTAGAGAAAAGTATCTACCTTTCTATCCACATAGATCGGCTCACATTGTATCATTGAGATCAACTGTGGTAGCCATTTATCTGAGTGTTTTAGGGGACAACACAACGTGATGGTAGCATCTTGAATATGTACATAATTTAGCAACTGTGGTATTAATAGCCATGGAGGATTTGCCCAGGCATTCTCGTTAGACAAGTCAATCTGGAATCCGACTCCTTTCGGATGTTCCAGTGTCCGGTACCTCGGCAGTTGTGCGTTATGATGAGCGGCAAACATATCTATGGTATGTTGTCTGCGATCTTAAACCACCTAGGATTGACCATACAATCCGTGCTAGGAACTCCCCAACCATCTTGTTAAATTCTGGTACGAAGCGAGACAACATGCCGGGTTAGTGATTGTGAATACCCGGTATGTGTGTTATGCCGAAAGAGATTTTTGCGATCTTGTCATGCCACCGACTGACTAACTGCGAGTTAGGTTTCATGTCCTTTAGGTGTTGCAATGACTTCTGATCACATAGCACGTTAAAGTGTGTGCCATATAGATAGTCCGTAAAATGAGTGAGTGCAGTAACAATAGCCAAAAGCTCTTGTTGCACGGTTGGGTAATTGATCTGAGATGAATTCATGACTCTGCTAAAGAACTATACATATCTCGGTTTCCCATCAATCATTTGATACAGAACGCCGTCGAGTGCCATGTCGGATGTGTCTGTTGCTACCATGAATGGAATACCATCCTTTGGTGCCTGGACTACTGGTGCCTGTTGAACCACTGTTTTGAGCTGCTTAAGTGTGTCATCACAGTCTTTGGTCCACAGTGCGCCTAGTTTGCCTTTATGACATCTCAAATGTCCAAAGGGATTTAAATAACTTGCCAGGTGTGGTACTCCGTTAGACAAAAAGTTGACGAATCCGCACATGCTGTTGACATCCTTACCCGTGGTAGGAGTTCTTCAGTCTAGTAAGTGTTCGACCTTCCAGGGATCGATCATGATTCCATCCACGGATACTCGGTAACCCAGCAGCTGAATTTCGTTAACACCGAAGTGACTTTCTTACTGTTGACCTTAAAGTTGTGCTTGTTGAGTCTGTCTAGAACCTCTCGCACAACCTTGTCGTGCTCCTCTTTGGTTTTGGTGAATACCACAATGTCATCAATGTATACTTGTACATTGTCCATGTCCCCAAACAAGTCTTGCATAATTTATTGAAAGAACGCAGGTAGCGTGTGTAACCCAAAGGGGGCACCTTTGAACGAATATTGCTGACCCTCCCAGGTAAAGGTGAAATACTTCCGGTATGGTTTGTAGATCTTCATCTGGTGGTAGCCCTGCTTCAGGTCGATAGTGGAGAATATCTTAGCTCCATCCATGCGCCTGAGCAGTTCGTTTATCCTTGGTAAGTGGATATTGTGTGTCGGTATCAAAGTATTAATTGGGCTCATATCCAAACACACCCGAACTTTCTTCAGCGTCGCGTCAGAGTTGAATTGGTCGACGGCTAAAAGCGCTAGGTTGACGGGAGTCGGCTCATAGTTGACTGCGATCACTCCGTCATCTAACCATGCTTTAGCCTGTTCTCGTACGACCTGCTCATGACGCCATGCAACATAGTTACGTGTAGGACACTTCAGCTTCGAGAAATCTACTCTCGTCAGGTCTAGACTAACGTATCCGTTATTGAATTTGAACTTAGCCCAGTCAGTGATCCGAATCTTGACATTCTCGAAAATCAAGTCCTTGACTTTCTCTGTAAAGTGAGGGATCATCTCCTTCACAGTCTTCGAAGGTTTATATACCGGTTTCAACAAGTTGTCGTCTGACTGATCCTTCTGTGGTTCAATGTTAATATGTAACCCTGTAATTGTGATACCTAATGACAATA